AAACAAAAAGATTTACACAAAAGGAATTCCAGTAGAAAATTAAAATTAAATAATTACAGGAAACAAAAGGATGCTAACTCAGTATTTAATAAAAAAAAAAAAGATAATTTTAAAAAATGCTGTCAATATGATCTTTTAGCATATCAATACATTCAGTATGAAAAAAATAGTGGACCCCCTCCAGGAGCTAAACGGGAAACGATTTCTTATCATTACAAGATGTCACAAAACAACTTGTTTGCGATAACGAAAAATCTTCCTATCACTAGTTTCAGAGAAAAAATAGAAAGGGTCAATATCCCCTATACAGACAAAAATTTAGAGAGAAAATATTTAAATTTGAAAAAGATTAATTTTTCTCTTGATAAAAAAGCGGATATTGAGTCCTGGATCACGGGTAATGATAACAATACTCAAAGTACTCCAATTTTCACTTATAATTATCAATTAATTGATAGAATGGAAGAGATTGTGAAAATTGAGCAAATTTTTAAAAATGAAAAAGATCCTTTTGCTCTTTTGATTCAGACAAATACCGAAGAAAGGAATCTAGTAAATTCTAAAAATTCTTTATTGGATTGGATGGGACTGAATGAAGCAATACTCGACCGTCCATTAACGGCTGAGGAACTTTCGGTCTTCCCAGAATTTCTGTGGTTTGTTAATATATATAAAATGAAACCATGGATTATACCAAGCCAATCACTTATTTCTAATTTGAATCTCAATGATGAAATGACGAATCAAAAGATCGGTAAAATTAAGAATAAAAACAAAGATAAAAAGGATAAAAAGAAAACTGAGGGTGAAACCAAAGGTAAAACTGAGAGTAAAAAAAAAGATAAAGCCGAGGGTCAAACCAAAGGGGAAACTAAAGGTGAAACCAAAGGTGAAACCAAAGGTGAAACCAAAGGTGAAACCAAAGGGAAAACTGAAGGTGAAACCAAAGGTGAAACTGAAGGGGAAACCCAGGGGGAAACTGAAGGGGAAACTGAAGGTGAAAAGAAAAGTCAAACTGAGATAGAACTAGAGTTATTCCTGAAAAATTATTTATTTTTTCAATTTAGAGAGGATGAGGATGTTACTTTTAATCAAGGCCTTTTCCAAGATCTCCAGATCTATTGTCTCTTGCTTAGAATGCTAAATCGAAAAAAAATGATGCTATCATGGATTCAAAGGGAAAAGTTAAATTTGGGTCTAATGCCACAGATGAATCAGGAAGAGAGTATTCAAGATTCAAAAAATTCAAAAAGAAATGTTCCAGATTCAAAACAGAGTGTTCCAGATTCAAAACAGAGTGTTCCAGATTCAAAAAATTCAAAAAGAAATGTTCGAGATTCAAAACAGAGTGTTGCGGATTCAAAAGAGAGTGTTCCAGAATTTTTAAAAAGGACGGGATTTTTGGTTGACCCCCTTCCGCTGTCTATCAAACCAAACGGAGAATTTCTTATGTATCAAACCATAGTTCTTTCATTGGTTCATAAGAGTAAAGAAATTCTTAATCAAAAATACGTAAAACAACGAATAATTCGCGCTGAAGAGAACAATAATTGTGATCCGCTTCTTATTGAAAATATTTTATCATCTAGGCGTCGTAGAGAATTAAGAACTCTAATTTGTTTCAATTCAAACAAATGGAATGGCGTGGATGCAAATTCTCTAGTTTCCAACAAAAATCAAGTTTGGGAGGAAAGTAACCCTCGGCATAAGGATCCGAATAAATTGATTGAATTTTTTCTTTGGCCTAATTATCGATTGGAAGATTTAGCTTGTATGAATCGTTATTGGTTTAATACTAATAATGGGAGTCGTTTCAGTATGTTAAGGATCCATATGTATTTACCATTGAAATTTAATTGGTGGAAATTTAATTGATAGTAGTACTATCTACCCTCTAGCAGGGTAGATGGTACCAGGTTAGATGAAAAGCAATGAATGGAAATATACCTTATTTTAATTTGTATCTAACTGAATCGAGGATACCATATATTTATTTAGATCTATATAGATACTTTCTCCCTCATCCAAAGAATATTAAGTTGAAATAATTCACTTTTATTTTATTAATGAACCCGAAAAGAGAGGGTTTTCTTTTGATTTGAATTGATAGACTTAGTTAGAAGAATTCTTTTTTAGCAATAAATGTCTTTCACATCCAGTGATAACCTGTAAATCATTTTAAATGGCAGTTCCAAAAAAACGTATTTCGAAAGCCAAAAAGCGTATTCGTAAGAACATTTGGAAAAGAAAGACTATTGAGGTAAGATTAAAAGCTCTTTCATTAGCAAAATCTCTTTTAACGGGTAAGTTTACAAGTTTTTTTTACAAAAAAAATAAAAAAACATTGGATTCATTTCTGTCAAGTTGATTTCTTGTATAATATTTCTTCTTTTTTCTTATCATTTTCTTTCTTTATTTTTCGTTAGTTCGTTTTAGTTACTAATCAATTATTTCATATCTATGAAATAAATCTATAACTTAATTATAAAAAATTATTTTAAATGCATATTATATATCAATGAAGGGAGTTCATTTAGTTTATGATAAAAAACTTATCTCTTTCGACTATTTATAAAAACCAAAACCAACAAAACAGAGGTTCCGTTGAATTTCAAATATGGAATTTCACCAATAGAATACACCGGCTTACTTCCCACTTGAAATTGCATAAAAAAGACTATTTATCTCAAAAAGGTTTACGTAAAATTTTGGGGAAACGACAACGACTTTTAGCTTATTTATCAAAAAAAAATACATTGCGCTATAAAGAATTAATTGATAAATTGGAGATTAGAGAGACAAAAACTCATTCATTTTGAAGTTGTATAGCTTTTAGAACCTATTTTATACGTAAATTTTAGAACTACAGTCTGGGTACTGAAACAATTACAAAAGAATAGCTCAGGGTAGTGAATAGAAAGACATCATGTCCTTTTGTCTATTGATTCTTACTGTATAAATTTGAAGGGATTTTTTATTTAAAACTTTAAAACGGCAGATTTAGTTAATTCAAAAAAGAATCCTTTTTTACCCTATTAGGTAGTTTGCGTAGTTATAAAAAAAATGATAATATTAAAACATAAAAATTGATAATAATTTACCAAAAAACATAAAATAATTTTTTTTTTATTTTTAAAACCAATCCAGAAATCTAGTGATTAGAATTCTTCTGAAAATTCATTGAGTCATATAGTATCTAAAAACCAAGTATCTTCTAATTTTATATTGCATAAAAATAATATTTGGAGGATACTATATCGATAATTCATAAAATTTATAAATTTATTCGTTCAATGGCACATTCTGTAAAGATTTATGATACATGTATAGGATGTACTCAATGTGTTCGAGCCTGCCCCACCGATGTTTTAGAAATGATACCATGGGACGGATGTAAGGCTAAACAAATTGCTTCTGCTCCGAGAACAGAAGATTGCGTAGGCTGTAAGAGGTGTGAATCCGCTTGCCCAACAGATTTCTTGAGTGTTCGAGTTTATTTATGGCATGAAACAACTCGCAGTATGGGTCTCGCTTATTGATCTGGTCCAGAAAAGTATATTTGAATTCATTCTATTTTTATTGAAAACCCGTGCTCTAAAATAAAAATATTTCATATTTTGTAGCACGGGTTTCATAAATTTTTAGCTTTTCACGAAGTAAAAAATTAATGTCTTTTTTTTTTATTTATTCCAAAGATTCAAATATTAAAGAATAAAATCTTTTTTATGTTCGCGAAAATGAACCATAAGTATGTAGACCTAATCCAATTAAATTGACTCCAAAATAGCATATCCAAATAATAAGAAAACCTATAGATGCCACAATTGCCGAAGTAGCACCTTCAAAAGTTCTATTTCTTCGAGTATGTAAATAAATTGAAAACACTATCCAAGTAATAAAAGCCCAAGTCTCTTTTGGATCCCAACTCCAATAAGATCCCCACGCTTCGTTCGCCCACAAAGCCCCCGAAAGTATTCCTATGGTTAAAAAGATAAACCCTAAACTAATAACTCGATAACTCCAATAATCTAATTCTTTACTTAATTGAATCTTATAAAAATTGTTAGCCGAAAAAATATAATTCATTTGAAAAATATTTTCATTTTTTCTAAAGGTAATGACCATAAGTGCTACTGATAATAAGGAGCCACATATAAGAGCTGCGTAACCCACTATCATCATACTTACGTGCATTATTAACCACTGAGATTGAAGAGCGGGGACTAATATTGAATATTTCTTAATTTCTGTGAAAAGACCCGAAGTAGCAAAAGCCTGGATAGAAAAATCAATTGGGCTTATTATTGTACTTAATAATTTTGTATTTTTTTTTAAATAGGAAAGGCTATTAATAAGAGCAAAACTCCAGGAAAGAAAAAGCAAAGATTCCGATAAATCACTTAGTGGGAAATGGCCTGACGAAATCCAATGAGTAGCTAATAATCCTGTTATACATAAAAAAGTTATGAAAATGCACTTTTCTGATGAATTAGAAAGTTTTATGTTTTCATCGACGAAAAAGATTCTCAAATAAATTTTAATTAAAATTGAAACGAGTATTATTGAAAGTGAAATATTACTTAGTATATGTTCTAAGGTTGAAACTATCATAAAAATTATTAAAAAAAATAAAATAAGATTTTAACTCTGAATTAGATAAGAAAAAAAATGAAAAAGAACAAAAGATTACTCTTATTTTTTATGCCGCTACTCGGACTCGAACCGAGATGCGCTAGCACTGCTTCCTAAGAGCAGCGTGTCTACCAATTTCACCATAGCGGCATGTTATTTACTTTCACTCATATCTTTTACCCATTTATAGAATTTATCGAAACGGAAATTAGAGTGATGGGCGAACGACGGGAATTGAACCCGCGCATAGTGGATTCACAATCCACCGCCTTAATCCACTTGGCTACATCCGCCCCCAACTAAAATATGTTCTTTTCAAAAAGGAATCAATAAAGGAGCAATAACCACTTTCTTGTTCTAGACAAGAAGGCGGAATTGCTCCTTTATTCTATTTTAAATAGATTCCCTATCTATATACTAAGAGACAAAGTCTCTAGCCATTTGTAGCTATAACTTGGATAGCAGCTAGGTCTAGAGGGAAGTTGTGAGCATTACGTTCATCGCATAACTTCCATACCTAGGTTAGCACGATTAATTATATCAGCCCAAGTATTAATTACCCGGCCCTGGCTATCAACTACGGATTGATTAAAATTGAACCCATTTAAATTGAATGCCATAGTGCTGATACCTAAAGCAGTGAACCAAATACCTACTACAGGCCAAGCAGCTAAAAAGAAGTGTAATGAACGAGAATTATTGAAACTAGCATATTGGAAAATTAATCGTCCAAAATAACCATGAGCGGCTACTATATTATAAGTTTCTTCCTCTTGGCCAAATCGGTAACCTTCATTAGCCGATTCATTTTCTGTGGTTTCCCTGATCAAACTAGAAGTTACCAAGGAACCATGCATAGCACTGAATAGGGAACCGCCAAATACACCAGCTACGCCTAACATATGAAATGGGTGCATAAGAATATTGTGCTCAGCCTGAAATACAATCATGAAATTGAAAGTCCCAGAGATTCCTAGGGGCATACCATCAGAAAAACTTCCCTGACCAATTGGATAGATTAAGAAAACTGCGGTAGCAGCTGCGACCGGAGCGGAGTATGCAACCGCAATCCAAGGGCGCATACCCAAACGAAAACTAAGTTCCCACTCACGCCCCATATAAGAAGCTACACCAAGTAAGAAGTGTAGAACAATTAGTTCATAAGGACCACCATTATATAACCATTCATCAATGGATGCCGCTTCCCATATTGGGTAAAAATGTAATCCTATAGCTGCAGAAGTTGGAATAATGCCACCTGAAATAATATTGTTTCCGTAAAGCAGAGATCCAGAAACAGGTTCACGAATACCATCAATATCTACTGGTGGAGCAGCAATGAAGGCAATAATAAATACAGAAGTTGCGGTCAATAAAGTCGGGATCATCAAAACACCAAACCATCCAATGTAAAGACGATTTTCAGTGCTAGTTATCCAATTACAGAAACGACCCCATAAGTTTTGGGTTTCGCGTCTCTCTAAAACTGCAGTCATGATCAATTCTTGGTTGATTTAATAATCAGGGACTCCCAAGCACACGAAATAAAAAAAAAATAGAAGAAATAAAGGCTTGTTATTCAACAGTATAACACGACTTAGATATTCGTGTCAACCAATAGAGCTATCTAATTTGATTCCGCTTTAAGTCAAGTGAATTTTCTCCATCTCATTTAAGCATGACGATTAGGTACTCATAATTACAATCCGGAACTAGTTAGTTCGAGTAAAGAATGTTTTTGTGAATAAGTGTTCTTATATATATAAATTATCTATTATCTATATAAATTTTAAAAAAGTGAGAACTAAGCTTACCCTTGAATTAGACTTTTGTAAAAATAAAAATTTTTGCATCTCTTCATAATTTGGTAAAAATTTGAATTTGACAATATACATGAATTTTTAAAAATTAATCTGCTCTTTGATACAAACAATATCAAAATACCAAATCCGCCTTTTATAAACTCGACTCCAATTTGAAGAAGCATTTGAAAACGTAAAATAAAAAATTTGTTCTTCCGATGTAAAAAATTCTTCTAAAAATTCCGAGCCCAAGCTTTGTAAAAAATCGCGTACAGTACTTTTGTGTTTCCGAGCTAGAGTTCGAGCACAAGAAAGCCTAAGTATATACTTTATTTGATACAAACTGGTTTTTTTGGAAGAACCACTATAATAATGAATAAAATTTCGGCATATCCGCCCAAACCTTTGAATAATCTCAGAATCTGAGAAGTCGATCCAACCCGGTTTACTAATGGGATTCCCAAGTATATTACAAAATTTAGCTTTAGCTAGGGATCCTAGGATAGGAATAATTGGAACAACAGTATCAAATTGATTAATAGCATTTTTTATTAAAAATGAATTATTTAACATTTGACTTCGTATTATTGAAGGGATTAATACAATACTTGAAAGATAATTCATAAATGAAAAAGAATGGATGGATAATTGATTTCTATTTATTCTTCCAGTATGGAACCAAATAGAAAAATAAGATTCCCAAAATTTTAAAATATAATAGTTCCATTTTGATATCAAAAGAAATGTTCCTTTTGATGCCATAATTGACTTTCCCCTATACCTACCATAATGCATTGAAAGATCCGGAGCCTTTAACAAACGGATACTTGCAGGAAAATCCTCTTCAAATACTTCTAAAAGGCATTTTATTTTTCCATAGAAAATATTCCGTTCCAAAAGTGCTCGAAAACTGATTGCTTTGAAATGAAGAGACTGGTTGCGGAGAAAGACAAAAACGGATTCATATTCATATAAATAAGAGTTATATAATAAGAAGAAAAGCCGCTCAGGTCTTTTTGTAAAAAGGTAATGGGACCTATTGGGATTATTCAAATTTTGAAAATTATAAAACTCATATAGAAAGAAGCGTAATAAATGTAAAGAAGAAGCCTCTTTTACCCAATACCGAATTATTTGAACCACAATTTCCTGATGAGGGGGGGAGGGGATTAGTAGATCTAATACCAAATTTAAATGTGATAAATTGTCTTCAAAAAAGGGAAATATGGAATGAATTGACCGTAAATTATTACATTTTAAGAGTTTCGTTTTTTTGCGCTCTGATGATATGAATCTTAAAGAAAACGGAATTTCCAAAATAAAAGCAAAAACCTCAGCTAACTGGTTACAATAGAAAAACTTGCTGGTTCTAAAAATTTGACTTTTTTTAGAATAATAATGAGTGAGCTGTATCTGTTGATACATTTGAGTAATTAAGCGTTTCACAATTTGAAAACTAAATTTTTTTGTATAGCCTATATTTTTAGCAGAAATTGATCCTTTTAACCCACTTAAAGCACGATCATGAACAAGGACATAAATATACTCCTGAAATAAAAGTGGATACAGGAAATTCTGTTCTTTCGATCTCTCTAGCTGTAAATCTATTTTAAGTTCCTCCTTTTTTTTTTATTTTTTTTTACAAAAAAACCCTAACTATATACATTAAAATATACATTAAAATTTCGTTCTATTACAAACTATTACAAAAGAGCATTCTTTCTATCATATGGAACAGATTCACTGCTATCAAGCGAATAACCTATTATTTTCTTTATAAAAAAAGAAAAATGGTGGATGTAACAAGATAAAGGATCTTGGTTTTCATCTTTAAAGTGACACGTTGCTTTATACCACATTGTTGCAAACAACATTGGACCATAATATTATTTATTATAATTTGGAACCAATATGTACTTGATTAAATCAGGGAATCCTGAAAAGTCTCTAGTATTGGTTCGAGTTTTCTCTAAACATACTATCCATTTAGGTTCTCTATATAATTTACTTAGTTAGATAGATTCCTTTCTCTCTATTATTTCTATCTCAATAGACTATTTATATTTGATAGAAAAAAAAGATCAAAAAGGTTTGGGACGGAAGGATTCGAACCTCCGAATTCCGGGACCAAAACCCGTTGCCTTACCACTTGGCCACGCCCCACTTTTACTGATATTCAATACTTCAAAAATTAAATAACCATTTGATGTTTGTCTATTGAATTTCAAATGAATATCAATTGGATTCTATGGTTCTGGTGTTTTTTTATGTATCAATTGATTTATTCTGTATATTCATATATTGTATATTTTATTATAATATATTAAAAATATTGAAATATTTATAGCATTGTGAAGGGTCCAAAGAAAAAGAGGAATCAATATTTTGCGCCCGCTCTACAAATTGTATATAATTTTATATTCATATGAATTATATAAATATCATATCTCAATAATTCATTATCTAAAAAAAAATGTTTTTTATGCTTAGTTTTATCTGTCTTAATTATGTCTTCTATTCGAGCAGTTTTTTATTCGGCAAATTACCCGAATCTTATGCTTTTTTGAATCCAATCGTCGATTTTATGCCAATCATACCTGTTCTGTTTTTTCTTGTAGCTTTTGTTTGGCAGGCTGTTGTTAGTTTTCGATGAAATACTTAATTAAAAAATTGAGTCAAATAAGAAATTCCTTGCTTTACTAGGATTAGGACCATTCCCCATATTTAATTTGGCAAACTCTTATTTAAATTTGATTTATGAAATTTTTTTGTTTAGAAAATTAACTTGATTTCAACTTTGTTTCTTGGTACCTATATTACATATGTGGTCTCAAAATAGAAAATATATTCTATTTATTTTTTTTCAATAAAAAATATTGGAGATTTTTAATGCTTACTCTAAAACTATTCGTATACACAGTAGTCATCTTTTTTGTTTCTCTATTTATATTTGGGTTCCTATCTAATGATCCAAGGCGTAATCCTGGACGTGAAGAATAAAATAAAACGAATTTTAAAATTTTTCAAAAAAAAAAATAACGGAAATAATACGATCCACAAAAACGGAAAGAGAGGGATTCGAACCCTCGGTACGAAAAACTCGTACACCGGATTAGCAATCCGACGCTTTCGTCCACTCAGCCATCTCTCCAAATTTTATTTAGAGAATTCTTATTTTATAATACACATAGAACTCAGTAATTTTTTTTATTTGGATTATGCTTTTAAATCTATTCTTTAATTCATTATTAAAATCTTCTTATTATATTATTTTTATATTATTTTAGAAAAATCTAAATTAAGAGTTAGAAGATGTTTTCTTTGGATTTTTTATTTAATTTTTGAAATGTTGAAAAGTTTATTCTTGTTCGCACGGCCCGGTCCTTACTCCACCGGGCGTTGTTTTCTAAGGAAGTAGAAAATCATTTTGAATTTCATATTGAATAAAAATGATTCTAATTTGAAAGATTTATTTGTAGATGCTCATGAATGAGAATCTTGTTGAAGGGGAATATAAAAATCACCTTGAATCTGATCTGATTATTTATTTTTACAAATAATTTTGAGGGGTAAGATGAAAAAAAGGAGCATCAAAGCGTCCATTGTCTAATGGATAGGACATAGGTCTTCTAAACCTTTGGTATAGGTTCAAATCCTATTGGGCGCAATTTTTTCATATATCTTTATTGTGTTTGAATTTCTTGATTGAAGTAGTTATTTAAAGTTTTTCTTGAAGTAGAAACCGATCCTTTTGGTCCGGAATATATTTTTTCAAAAGGGCTTCTGCTTCATCGGTAAATGTATTAGTAGATGATATGATTTCTTGGAACTGAGGTTTATTAGTTTTGAAATAAGTATATAACTTAATAAGAAATTTGCTGATCTGTCCAAGTTCTAATGAATCAAGATACCCATTTATTCCAGCATAAATAGTAATAATCTGCTCTGCCGCCGTGAGAGGAGCGGATTGGGATTGTTTAAGCAATTCGCGCAAACGTTGACCTCTTGCTAATTGATTTTGACTAGTTCTATCGAGATCAGAAGCAAATTGGGCAAAGGCTTCTAATTCAGCGAATTGGGCGAGTTCTAATTTTAATTTACCAGCTACCTTTTTCATGGCTTTAATTTGAGCTGCAGACCCCACTCGGGAAACAGAGATACCCACATTAATAGCAGGTCTTATTCCAGCATTAAATAGATCGGCGGATAAGAATA